ATGGGACTTGGTAAGTTCTGTGTAGGATTGTCACCCTTTTGGGGAGCAGTGCTCCTATGCCTTTAACCATTGCATGGAAAGGTTCCAAAAATGTGCCTTCTCCTTCTGTGAACATCTAACTGTAGCGATGGGAACACCTTTCGTCTGCATTCTCCTTCAGCCAGACAGATGTTGAAAACTCAAAAAGAAACTTGCAGAGAGATATGTATAGAACCACAGAACAGAGTTGGAAGGGGCCGTGAAGGCCACTGGGTCCAACCTCCTGCTGTTGTGGGACAAGTCACACCACCCCACTCAGATGCCTGTCCAGTTCCTTTTGGAACGTCTCCAGGGTGGGGGCGCCCACCGCCTCCCCAGGCAGCTGGTCCCACTGTTGCGTTGCCCTGACAGGGAGGAAGCTTTTCCTGATGTCCAGCCCGAACCTGAGTTGTCGCAACTTGTATTAATTATTCCATGACTCCACTCTGGCACCAGCAAGAGGAGATCCTGACCTTCCTCTTTGTGGCAGCCTTGGAGGTGCTTATTCAGGGATATCATGTCCCCCCCCAGTCTTCTCTTCTCAAGGCTGAACATGCCCAGTTCTCCCGCTCTCATCTGCTACAAGTACTACTCTGCATCCATATATGGACTAACTTCCTCTCTGCCCCAGCCCTTTCTGCGGTGCCCTGGCTAACCCCTTTCATCTGCAGATACGAATTTGCTGCCTTGCAGGGGCATGGCATCTTCTGGTAATGCAGGGAAGCTGCTGATCGTCTCTTGCCACAGATTCCTCATTCCTCGCCAGTCCTCCTTTCTCACCCTCGGCCTCTTGCCCAGTGCTGCCCTTCTTTCATGGGTCTGTTCTTTCTTCATCCTCCATCAGTTCCTCCAACACTGTGCTAATACCTGAATCTTCCTTTCACAGAACTAGGGTGGCTGGTTGGCAAAGAGAGAGATCAGAAACGTTGCGTGGGAGGAGGGGGAGTTTGTGAGCACATGAAACTCACTGAGAATCGAGCTGGACTTTAGTCCTGGACCCAAATTCTCTCTTGGCCAGGAATGCCCGTTTCTGCAGTTTTGCTCCAGAAGCTGTGAAATAGTTTACAACGGTCCAACCACAATGGGCGGTGGAGAGGAGGGTGGATTTACCCTACACTTTGCAAGCTTGGTAGGCATTATGAAATATGGGCTTGGACTTTTGGAATTGTTCGCAAAATGTCATCAGCTGCATTTTGTCATGTCTTAGTGCAGTCAGTATAAAATTCTGAACATACAATAATAAAACCACACTTATTCAAACATCTCAAATTGAACATTATAAACTAAAAAAATAAGAAAGGAAAAATAAAATAGGAAGTGCGACTGTGAGAACAAAAAGAAAACAGAAAAATCTTAAAACGTCTAAAACCCTTAATTGTTAAAATGATGGTTAAATTAAAAAGGTCTTTACCTGGCGCCAGAAGGAGTATTTTGAGTATTTTTCAAAAGGATGCTTTTGTCAAGCAATTTTTTCAGTGTCTGCAACCCTTCAAACATACTAATTTTGGCCTGTGAATCACGTTGCAAGCTTGGGCTTGGACCACGGGTTCCATCCTCGATCCTGTTCAGTCTGGAACGGGGGTCCTCAAGCTTTTTGAATAGGGGGCCAGTTGAAAGGTGGCAGGGATGGGCGTGGGCCGCCAAGGCGGTGTGGGCAGGGGGCATGCAGAAAGGCAGGGGCGTGCATGCACAGAGAGCCTTTTCTCCGAGCGAGTCCAAAACGATCTCCTTGCGAGCAAGCTGGCGCCTCGCCATGCATGCGCCATGGCGGGCCGGATCAATGGTCATGGCGGGCCAGATCCAGCCCGTGAGCTGTAGTTTGAGGACCCATGGTCTGGAAGATGCAAACACAGGCAAGCCTGATACAAGGGAAAGTAGGTTGTGGGGGGGGACCCTTTGTCCCTGGGAGAGGGTTATCCCCTGAAGGGGTTTTTCTAAGAGAATTGTTTTCTACTTCTGCAGAGCTCAATTTCTGCTGAGTCTGTTGAAATCACCGTCCTGTGTGTGGATGGTGGTGTTTTAACTGCAAAAGAGCCGGTGCTCAGAGAATTTTAAGCTGTGGGGACATTGAGTTCCACTGGATCTTTTTTTCATCCAGGATCAGCTCTGTCAAAGATGGGACTGAATTGTTACCACCTTACAGATGGGAGATGGAGGTGTCAGATACAAATACAAATTATTTGTATAATTGTAGAAATTTCTCAGGTTTAATTTATAGTGAAAGTTGTGATCCCATGCACGCTGAGCTAATTTATTTATTTATAAAATTTGTATGCCGTTCATTACTTCCCTCTAAAAAGTCCCACAACCTCCTGCACACCCTAGCCAAAAATTTGAATTATTTCCAGAAGTGGAAAAAGAATCTGCTACAGCAGAACAGAAACACTCCCAAAACCCATCAGAAACACAACTGACCAGACAATTTCCCCCTCACTTCCCCTTTGGTAAGGAACAAAAATAGTCTCGGCTTGCAAGGTACATCCTGCTCATATAAATGTCAGCTGCATTGGCATTAAAGACTATCTCCCCCACATACAGAGTTTGTGTTTTAGCCTGCCAGATTATCAAATGCAGGGCAAGATGATGTGGGAGGTTTTCTTTCCTTTCACATGAACTTTCTCACCCCACCTCCTTTCCTTTCTCTGCTGTAACACTCTCCTGATAAACCGATTGAATGCAAGTTTTTTGCTTGGAAATGCGCATTAGCTCTGATGTGCATTTCCATGGAGCAGACATGCACTTGCACAAGTACACATGTCAAAAGAAAGAAATTGTGCAAATCTCCTTAAAGGAAAGGAATGGTTTGTGTGCCTTAGGAAAAGCAGGATCCCATTTGTGGAAATCCAAACTCATTTGAATCCACTGGGGTATTTTCCAGCCTGCCCCATTCATGGTGTCTGGATGAGGGAATATATTTGTTGCCCAGCCCTAAGAACCCCCACCCCCCAACATTTCATTCATGAAATCAACTTAGGTTCTTCCTTTTGTTATCAAGCATCAGTGAGGAGGCAACTGAGAAAGCTGCCAAATACCAGGATCATAGAAACTGTAAGATGCTCTCTGCCAAATTCAGTGCAGTCCCGTCTGCCCACGATTTTATGTCTGTAATAAAGTTGAGGAAACAACGCAGCCCTACTCTATCATTTCACTTCAACAGTGGCCCGATCAACTGCCCAGTTTCCTTCCCCTGGAAAGTGCTACTTGTTTTGCCTGACTTAAATAGGGTCAGACCATTGATCTTATTTATTATTTATTTGTTATTTTTGATATGCCTTTTGAATCCTTTACCATAATAAACAACAAAGGGAACTGACCTACAACTAGAAAAATATCAAACAATGCAATTTTAGATATTACACACATTAAGACATTTTACATTAAAGAGTTAACTGGTTATAATTTAAATGCTAGCTGGGTCTTAACCTGGCATCTGAAAGTATACGGTGAGGACACTAGGCAGATCTCCCTGGTAAGGCATCCGACAGACTGGGGGCCAACACAGAGAAGTCTTTGCTTGGTAGCCACTCCTTGCACAATTGTAGGCTACGGCACTCAGAGAATCTGCCCAGAAATGATTTCCTCAATTGGGCAAGACTATGGCGGAGAAGGCACCCCTTCAGGCAGATGGGCAGTAGGCCATATAAGGCAGTGGAGGCTGGTGGTGCCAATGTCACTGCAGTGGTGTATCCACTCCTGCTTTCAGCCTGAACTTTAAAGGCACTGTCTGCAGTGCTGAACCCTGGCCCCAGAATAGGGCTCTGAAAATCAGTGCCAAGAGCTGATTTTGCTTTTGCTCGGAAGCTGACTGGCAACTTCGCAGCCGGTTGGGGCAGGGCAAGGCGCACTCATGAGGAAACGTGTGCTCACGCGCTGTGAGCAGAGCTGGTGGAGGGCTATTGCCGCCATCTTCGCCTTAAGGCAGCCCTCTTCCTCTGCAGTCTTCACAGTCGCACCCTCAAGTTGCAGAGCAGCACTGGCCCTTTTTTGCCTGCTGGCCAGATTAGCACAAGGTGGCAGGAGGTGTTTTCTGCCACCGGATGGAAGACTTAAAATGACTAGGAGTTGTCCAAATCTTTTGAGCAAGTTCCTCAGTCACAAGGCAGGAACATCTGGGAAATCTGACATGAGGAGGAGAACTTATGCAAACATTTAGATGTACCTGTAAGGTAATAGGCAGCCGGGTGGGCAGGATTCCTCTGGGGATTCAGGTGTGTCAGCCACCTAGAGCTGGAGGGTCTGGGGAAGGAAGCAGGAAGATGCTGGGGTAGAATGCTTCAACACTGGAGGACTGCAGGCACTGGGGAAGGGCTGCTTATTGCGCTTCCTCCAACGCATTGCCGGGCACGGCTCCCTGTAATCCGAAGTGGAGGTGGCGGGCCCTGCACACCATGCATTCCAGTTGACCCCACAGCCCGTGTCTGCCACGCTATTCCTCACCTGGGGGTGACCATCTACTTGCTGCATTTCAGTGCACTGCAGACAATCAGAACATCCTCGCATAGGAATCTGGAAGTGAGAACTTGCCTTCATTCAGAAACCATTGCTTAAATGTGGAGCAGGAGACAAAATCTTAGGCCTGAAGGCTACAACCCTACAAGGCAGGTGTTTTTCCTAAGGGCTTCTCTAAAGAAGGCATTGATCGTGCTGTCATGATCCCTCACCCAGTAAAGCGCGTGGAGACTTTCCACGGCGCCACCGTTCTCTGGAGCCTCCCCATGTTTCCCACCCTTTTTAGGGTGCTGTGCTGTGCTTTGGTGTTTTGAATGAGAAAAGTCTGGTATTAAATTCTAGATCACAAAAGCCTGGGGCAAAAGCAGCACCTAACTGGATACAGGGCAGATCTACCGCCGGTTGTCTGGCTATTAGAAAATGCAGAAAAGCAGAGGAATGCAACCTCCTGGCAGGGTGGACGTGTAAAAGATCCATTTTTCCTCCCATAGTGAAAACGGAAGAAGCCTCAGAAAAGCCACAGATTCAACCTCTTATTTAGAAAAGCCCTGCCTCACCTTCAGCTGAGTATGTTTGCCAGAGCCACCATCTTCCGTTGTGTTTGCATTGTCCCCAGGACTGCTGGGAACATCCACAAAGCCTTTGTTTAGCAGGGTGAGCATGGATGTTTTGAAGACCTGCTGGAATTTCTCCCCAACGAAAAGATAAATTATGGGGGTGCCACAGACATTGAAGCAGACTCCTGCAGCTGCGAGATCCCACAGGATGCATGTTATTTGTTCTGGTATGTGACTAGCCAGCAGTGCAGCGTGGTAGAGATGAAAGGGAAGCCAGCAGATGAAGAACGATGCCACGGCAGCCACCAAGACTCTGAAAGGTTTCCCAGTCCTCACAAGCCTTTTCGTCTTCATTTCACAACTAATCCAGCAATAGCAGCCCAGGATGATGATGAAGGGAAGGAGGAAGGCCAGCAGGAACTGGACCAAGAAGAAAGCCAGGTGCATGGGCGTGTTCTTGGAGAAAACAAAACTATAGCCACACTTCATCTGGCCATTGACTCGTTCAGTCTTCAGGGAGAGAAGGCTATAGGCACTCAGGAGGAGGGAAGCCAGCCACACTCCCGTGATCAGCCTCCGTGCCAGGGCTGCCGTGCGGAACCTCTGCGACCAGACAGAATGGCAGGTGAAGAGGTACCGGTCCAGGCTGATAACAGTGAGCAGAAAGACAGTGGTGAACCTCATCACAGAAAAGGAGGAAAGTACAATCTTGCACATGATCTCTCCAAGGGCCCAGTGGAAATCAAGGATGATATAAACGGCAAAGAAGGGCATGAGAAAGCAGGTGAGTAAGTAGGAGAGAATCAAGTGGATAAACCAAAGGGTATTCACTGTCCTCTTCATCTTCATCCCCAGCACCCAGAGGAACGAACCATTCATAATTATCCCCACCAGAAAGGACACCAGGATAAGGACGGCAGTGATGATGCTTGCGGAGGCACTGGCCGCTGAAAAGCAGCTGTCATTCAGAAGCATGGCGGAAGTGTTTCCGAAGGGGATCGCCATGTCGTCTGGTCCGCACGGCTCTGGAGGAAGATGGAAACAAGGCTACAGATGGAGGAAGATGTTTGGAAGGGAGAACCAGTTAGAAAAGGAAGCCCACTTGGCCACTGGTCCTCACTGCTGGGTGCAGCCCAGGCCTGGCCTTTGTGTGAGTGCGTGCGGGTGTGCTGCGTATGGGCGTTTGCCACAATGCAGGTGTGAAGGTGAGGCGATGGGGTAGTTCAGGGTTCAGCACTGCTCCACCCAGCACCCAGATGTTTGCCAGCCATTCCAACAAGTCACCCTCACCGGGCTAGGAAAACATGTGAAGTTGTGCCCAATGAGGGTCATTCTTTAATTTGGGCTGGCATGGAACCTGCATGCAGAGGGAACCTCGCAGACGGTCGAGGCTCATTCGCTACCTTTCTGTCATGCGCACTTGCCCCACGTGCCTCCTCTTGCTCGTTCCAGTTAGGGATGAGCAAAATTGTCACATAAATGTTTTCCTGCTGACCCTCTTAGTTTTGGCCTTAGTCCTGATTTAAAAATTTGCATCAAAATCCATCTGATTTTCATGTATATTTGTAAGAATTTTTACCTAATACCTATCTCCAGATCTAATCCTGTCCTGAATTATTGGACTGCCTAGCTAATTTATTAATTAATGTGCTTTCAGCGTTGATGTAAAACACTATAAATGCATCAATTAAAAGAGTCTTATATTTATTATCCTGCATTTTAATTTCTGATTCTGTAAGACACTTAGAGGTAGCTTTGAATATGGGAAGCAGCACATTAATTGAATAAATAAATAGATAGCAAAGCATTTGTTCCATATAATGCTTTTTTGAAATTTCTTTTCTATATTTTCCCCCTTCTAATGCAATTATGTGCAACAGATACATTTCTGCATGCATTTTTAAAATTGGAGAGCTCTATTGCAAAATTTTTGAAAATTTCTAACATTTGGTCCTTTCATTGGTAAAAAGTAATGCCTCCTTTCAGCACCTCTGTTGCCCGGCAAGAGGTGGATGGAGCCAGAGGGCTGCCATGGCAAGGAGGGAGAGCAAGTCCAGGAGGGACTTGTCAGTGGGCCTTTGCTGGAAGGTGGACCCTCGACAATTGCCCAACCATTCCTTCCTCTGATGCTCCTGGACTCAGTCTGACACCTGAACTTACCAATGCCTCCATCTCAAAAGCTCAATTTCCCTATTGCAGAGCAGGATCTATGAGAAGCATGAGCAACAGTTGGTCCTCCGGCTTTTTTGGCCAGCCATCCTCATCATTCAGCTCCATTGGCCAAGTGGGCCAGGCCTTATGGATTTCGTCAGCCAAAACATTCTCGGTTCTATCGGCAGTATTATGAGTCTCCCTAGTGCCTCATTCAGATGCATAAGGTGACTTAAGTTTAAAGTTGCACCCATTCTAAAGCTTGGAAGCTTGCATACACATTGATGTGCGCACACGTACTTCGAAACTATGTGAAAACCTTAAAGCAGCCCCCAGAATACTCACACAGAGCAGGGGAGCGGCTCGCGAGCAGTTTGCAGAGCTAAGCAGTCCAGTGTGCAAACGCAATCTGGAATGAAGGGGAGTGGGCAGTCAGCCTGGAAGTGAGCAGAGAAGGGTCTCCACGCCCCAGCCACGTTGCAGAAGGGCTGCCCCGCACACGCCCCACAGCAGCCCCCACTTACTCGGTGGCCTTCTCTGCCTGTCGAGGGGCTGATCCTCAGAGTTTGCGCAGGACTGGTATAAATGCTTCGAGAGTGCCCGGTTTCAGGTGGAAAGTGAACGTCACATAGATGGGTTCTCCAGAAAAGCCAGTTCCTTATTCTCAGTTCTTTGAAACAGTGAACCGAAGATGCATAATGCACAAGTTCCACTTCTTGGTGTTCAGCTGGAGGGGCCGCTGCGCTCCCCCACACGCGTGGGCCCGGATGCGACTCCTTCGCATTCAGGGGTGCCTGCTTTGAATGAGTGCTTATTCCTTGTGATCTGCAGCTTAATTATGGAGCTCTCCCTGCCAGTGTTCAAAGTGGGGAAAGAAAGGGAATGGGCTGGTTCTGGTTCTGGTTCTGGTTCTGTTCCTGACTGTGAGCAGGAAGAGGGCATGGCGCGTTTCGGAAGGGCTGGACGGAGCTGCCTCCGAAGAGCAAACGTGGGTTGGTTAGACCTTGAAGGGCAGAGGGAGGTGGCTTCCCTGCCCTCTCTGAGCACCGCTTCAAATGTCTTCATACTATGCATTTGTTCTGCTTAGAAAATATGCAGCCAGAGCACAATAGAGGAAATAGACGTCATGCAGGCACTGCACTGGGTAGTTCTGTTTCCCGAAAGCAGCTCTGGTGTCTCCTTCAAGGTCTCCCCACCAGTTGCAGCCACTGAGCTCCAGCTGAACCTTTCACCTCTCTTCTCCCACTTCAAAATGCATCTGTCATGATAGAGGTTTTCCCCCTTCCATCTTTTCCAAATTTCCCAAATGCTCCACGGGTGTTACGTTGCAAAGACAGAAGAGGGATCCCAGTCTATCCAGAAACATTAGCTAGAGTCAAGTCAGGATGTTTCCAAAGAGGTAAGTCTGCTATATCCTGATACATTAATCTGCCACCATTCTCTTTTGATGTGCCCACAATTCTATTTAAGCATTATTTAAGATGTACCTTTGAATGCATCTTCTTCCAAAACATGCTGGGAGTGCTCAACAGGAACTCCGTCTCTGGGCTGCTGCAAAGAAAAGGGGATGGGAAGCTGTTGACATAACTTGAGAAAACCTCAGGTACATAAAATGTGGTTCTTTGCACGGACAACAGTCTAAGCTGAGGGACTCCACACTTTAGGTTAACAATAATAGCGGTATCTGTGCAAATAGATGCACACCCACTCAAGGAGATGTGTGCAATTTCACTGTTCTTTGTCCCCACCATGTGGTCATCATTGATACACTTCACATGAACTGGGGATGTGAGAAATGTGTTCATTTTTGCAGATTTGCAATTGGGACATATACTCCTCTTTGAACCTCCACTCCAAAATGGCCATGTCTGTCTCAGCAAACTTGCTTTGAGAATAACTCAGCTGAGTTTTGCATCACTGAGGTATGGAGTCTCTCCTCCCCTCTCCTCTCCTTTTTTGGATATCAAAATTTGCATACGTAAAAAAGCTCATTCCTATTTTCTGTACTTCAAGAGGAAAATTGTAATTACAATTTTCTATCAGCCTCGAAATTATACCCAATTTTATGTGCATGGTGTATTTTGTTTTAGAATTATGAATCAATGGAAAGGCATCTCCTCCAAACAGAACCATGATTTATTGACGTTCTTTTCTTTGTGGCAAGTTTCTAAAAATGTTTGAGTGCTTTTCCATTCAATTTACTCATCTTTTCTTGTTTTCTGCCTTAAGCCCTCTACCATGTTAGGCAACTTAGGAGCCAAAATATTTTCTGCTTTTTCCACCCACCTAGGCTAGGGGAAGAGGAAACTGCACTGAACAGGAAATGTGAATAAAAAATCATCGACTAAACTGTAATCTGTTTCTAGTGTAAATATTTTATAGATAAATACATAGATAACATTATCAGTTCTGTGGCAAGTTAGCCATTAACTGCAATGACTCATGGCTGATGCAAATAAGTTCCCTTATAAACATGTTCTGTTCCCTTATAAACATGAACCAGACAGATTTCTCCCAATCTCTGTAAAACTTCCCAGATATGCAGCAAGGTCTGTGGGCCCAAATCACCTCCCCGGGAATGCTCAAGGATGGTGCTTGAATCGCTTTTTCTCACCCCCCCCCCCCATCTAAGCTTTTCGCTGGTTCAGGAAAACCCCACATTTCCTGACCTGCTGTTAATTAAAGTTGCAATCTATTGATGCTATTTGTGAAGCATAATGACTTCTGCTTTTTGAAATTCCTTCTTTCCTGAATTATAGTGCTCACAAACCACATCGGTGCATAGGCTTTGGGGAGTTCGTCGCACACCCTGGTAGCTAAGAGGTAAGAATACTCTTCTAGAATTGCTCCAGAATGAGCCAGAGCTAATAACTTTGCAGTAAATGGAGGGGGTGGAGGGCACCACTGAGAGAAACGTCATATTTAATGTATTTAACTTTGGCTGGCTTCCACTTTGGAAGGTTTGCTCCCTTGCTCCTCATTCAAGTTCCTTCTCCGCTCTTCTTCAGCTTGCTTGGCCAGAGTACCCCAAAGTTCTAGCTTGTTATAAGTTATCTGGACATTTTGTGGTTGTGACAAATTCTGTGACAAGACAGTCCTAACAGTTTTCTTCTTAATTATGCTTCTGCCTCACCACTGGAGGAAATTCTACATAAAGTGATTTTCTGCAATGTATGCCCATGTGTTAGGATATTTTAAACTCCTTTTAGCTTTCTTCTGAGTAGACATGTATAAGACTGCACTATTCCTTGCTAGAAACTGGTTTAGAATTGCAGCCAAAGAAGGAAGGAACCACCAATGTTTACAGAGCCAGATGAAAATCATTTAGGGGAGGGAAAGATGAATATGTTCTTTGAAACGTTATTTTTTTTTTTTTTTGATCATTCTTCTGGGTGCACTGGCCATCAGGGACCACTTCTAAAAAGAGAGAGAGAGAAGTTGTGTTTAGGGACCATCTAATGCAGCGAAGGCGGACAATGCTATGATGCCATTTGCACATTTTCTGTTGAGAGGGAAGACAAATACAGCGTGTTTGAAAGACTTTCCTTGGCAAATGTCATGGAACAAGTGGAAGTAAAACATGCATCAGATTATGCAGTATTGATACTGGTGATCCAAGGAACATGGGAAGCGGTCTCAGACTGCCTCAGGCCCTCGGTCCATCTATCCAAGAATTGTTGATGCCGACTCTCCAGGGTGTGGGGCAGGAGGCCCAGAGATGCTGGGACTGAGCAGATGCCTTTTGCTCACGAAGCCAGAGTGCAGCATCTGCTTGGACTGGGACTGGCTGCAGACCACTGGCCACGCACGCTTTGGGAGGCTTTGGGCCAAGGACGCTCTTGTGTGCTGTTTTGGCTCCTCAGAGTGACTATCCAGGAATAAAATGGCATTTGCTTCCCTTGCCTTCCCCCGTTTTCTTTGGAATAAGAACCATTTTGCAGGGAAATACAAATGAAAAAGATTGAAAGTGTAAAATGAGCACCTGTAGCTGCACACATGCGGCATTGGTAGCCCCAAACTCTGAAACGCTTGCGTAAAACAGAACCCGAGAGGATTCTCCATGGTCAGTGTTATTTTTGGGGAGCGGGGATCTGCTGCGGTTTTGTTGTATGGCGATCGTGTTTGTACAGTTTCAGTGGCCTTAATTCAGTACTGTGAGCTGCCATGAGAACTTACACTGATAGTGGGGGGGGGGGTAAGGAATGGGGGGGGGGGGGGGAAAAAAGGGGGAAGGGGGGGTGGGGAATCCCCCACACATGGAAACCACGACTGAGGGGCCGTGCAGCCTCCCAGACTAGCTCAGGCCAAGCCACTGATCTGCCTGCCAGGCACAGCACCCTACCTGTGCGTGATCAGTACCTGTGAGAAGCCTTCCTACATATATGCCCATGGGTCGCTTGGAGATATCCTCCATTTCCACACGTCGGTGGTGGTGTGGGGGGGACCCTGCACCAACCAGGATCTCTTGCCCCTTAGAAGAGCTTTAAAGAGAAAATTCTATTTGTGGTGCGCTGGCTGGCAAGAGCTAAACTGAATTGTTCCATTTGCAAAGGGTTTGTTAATTTTTCGGTCCATTTTTGGCCTGGTTGCCAACTGTGTCATGAGTTTCCTAACTTGAGCTTAGGTGCTACAGGACGGTGGAGGGTGGGGCGGAGGTGCCCAAGGGAGTGCTCTCTTTCTCATTCCTTTTCCACCTCTCTCTTTCCTTTTCTTAGGGTCCTACAGCTGACAGATGAATTACTGAAGTTCAGAGAGGAAGAGAGGAGGAAAGCGGGGATGGGCTATTCCCTCAAGTTCCTCATTCTTGGCCTAGCTCCAACATGTCTGCCTCGGGAGGGTAAGGACTGGGGGAAGACAGGTCGCAGAGCAAACTCCGGGGGTTCACCAGGAGTTTGAGGTCTCGGGGGGAAGGGGCTGGTGCTCTCTACCTGGGAGGCTGACTTTCTTGTCTGCTCCCTTGCAGGTGTTCAGCGCCGGGCAGAGAGTTACGGGTTGAATGCCCCTCCTACTGTCTCTGTGCCACAGGATCTCTGTGTCACCCTCCCCTGCAATTTCACTTACAACTCATGCCAGACTTACACCCCTTCCCCAAATAAGCCAAGCCAGTCCTCCGCACTGGCCAGTTTCACTGATGTCCCTGCATCGCGCCATGCCGATAACACTGCACCGTCGTGTGCCTATGGGTACGAAGAAGGGCACGTGGTGGCCGCCAGCGATGGGGGGAAGCCACTGCAAGCTACGCTCAGAAGCGCTCCGAGGGTGGAGCGTCCGCCAGCCTGGCGGATGAATGACTTCACCCGCCAGGAGAGATCCAGCCATCCGGCCTCCTTGGTGCATCGTGACCTGAGTCATCAGGCACAGTGGAGGAAGGGATTCCCAGTGGACCGTGGCGCAGATGAGCCCTGGCCCTGCATCCTGGTCCGGGCAAGCGCCTGCGATCGCCCTGTTCCCACAAGCACGGCTGCAGTGCGTTGACCCAGCGTTTCACGCGCAGACAATTGGAGATGAACTTGCTGAGCTCCAGTAACGGAAGATGCATAAACATTGTGCGCACATGTGCACACACCCACACTGGAAAGAAAGAACATAGCGTTAGTAGACTTGACGTCCCTCCTCCTTCGCCTGCATCCACGAACCAGACCCTTCTTTGGGAGCAGTGCCCCCGGCCCCCACCACCCCCAGCACAATCCCCCCCAGCCTGCATGGGAAAAGATTAAGTCGTTTTCCAGCATAACAAGCCAAGCAGCAGAATGCTAGGCTTGAAAGCAGCAGTGGCAACAGAAGAGCAAAGCCCCACTTCCCCATTTCAAATGCCACCTGCAGCCCCGCGCTTGCGCACGGGAAGCCGTGCCATCCCAAAAGCACCCTCTGAGTGTAAAAATGCGCCAGGCTCCTCCTGTGTTTGGAAGATCATTCCACACGTGCAGGCATGGGCCCGGGTCCCTCCCCTTGCAAAATGCCCCGTGCATGCTCAGAGGGGTTGGCTTCTCAAGCAAGGCTGCAGCCCAGAGTTTTCCTCCTCCCTTCAAGCCCGATGGCGCCCCATCTCCTGGGGCAGGGCCAGTTGCTCTCTCCCTCTTCACCTCTGCCTGGTCCCTCCTCTGCCTGCTCTGCCACGACAAGCAGGACGGTAAGCTGGGGCGGGAGAAATGGGTCAAGAGAAACTAAAGGAGCCCAGCCGCCTTTGCGCATCTGTGTGGATGGAGAGGCCTTGCCCCCAGCCCAGCTCAGGGGAAGCGGAAATGTGCTAGGCAGGAAACCCTGAATAAAAGATCACCAAGGAAAACGGGAGATGTGAAGTCCTAATAATGGACCATCACCGTTCATGCAAGTCCTAATAATCGACCATCAAAATATATAGAAGGAATCTCTGATGAACTAATATTAAACTTTCATACAAGAATAACACAGTCTCAAGGAGCCATATGCAAGTCCCCTAAAGCGTTGCATGAAACGCCTGGGAGGATCTTGGGTCTTGATAGACGTCGTTGCGGCTGGAATCCCTGGACGGGGAATGGCAGGATTGCCTTTCTCAATGGATCTTGTGCTCTTCCAGTTCCTTTGCATTCTTTGGTGGCTTTGTCAAGTGTGCCGAATATGTTGCGGAGATGCATTGCTAAGGGTTCCCGATTTGGCCAGGAAAAGCAGGCAGGCGGGGTGGCTGTGGCCGTTTCCAGCAGGCTGGTGCCGAGCGCTCTGGGAATGTCTGGAAATCATGCGGAGCCATGGGGCTCCCTGCACGAAATGCCGCCTCGATGTCGCTAGAGGAGCCAGGCAAGGACGAGTAGGCCAGACTTCTCTGTGAATGTTGCAACACCGTTTTCTTTGTGTGTCTTCTCCGTTCTTATTGTACCGTTCTTAACGATAATTTCATTTGTACACAGCCCACGAGCCTGTGTGAGGCTCCGCCCACTCTCCTCCCCGGCGCAGGCCTTGCCTCTCGAGGGAATGCATCTCACCCTGAGCGAGGCCTGAGCATGGGCGTGACCTCACGGGAGCACCCGAGGATGGCCCTTGCGACACTCCTGCGCAGAAGCCCATCCTCCTTCGCTCTCTGCTTGCCCAGTCAAGTTGCGCAGGTCCCTCCCTGCTCTTCCTTGATGGTGCAATCTCCTGATCCCTGCTTCAGAAGCATAACCATTTCTGCTTTTCATAAGTACTTATTCTGGGAAATCTTTCTTTCCTGTTGAGAAACTCTCCTGATGCAAAACTAGGGCAGCCATATCAGCACATTCAATTTGGGGAGGCCATTGCAAAGAGGTAAGAACGCTCTTCTGGAATTGAGCAGGATTCAACCAAAGTTAGTAACTCTGCAGTAGCTTGGGGGCACCACTGAGATAAAAGTAGTATTACAGAATTCAAGTTTAGCTGCCTTCCACTTCTGAAGGTGCTTGTTATTTGATTGCTTAACGAGGACATTTTCCCTTCTCTCCACAGTTCTTTGGCTTTTTGGCTGGACTGCCTTCAGTCCTAGCATGTTCTTAATTATTTTGAAATCCCCAAGTTATGTGACAAGTGGTTTGACAATATAGCATTGTGATAAGAGCCCTGTGAATGTTTTGGAGGGAGTATCTACAGCCTGTTTCTCTCTGCTGTGCATGCAGGCTTCATGAAGGCTCTGTGAATTTCATGCCATGCAGAATCTTGAAGAGCTCTGGCAAACCTGCATGCTTGTCTTTGTCCCACTGATCAGCATCAAGCTGCCCGAAAAGGGTGCCAGCATTCCTGCTGTTCATCCAGACTATCGACAGTCCCGCCTGAGCACGTTGGCATGTCCGAATTGCATGGCTGCTAATCGGGGGGCTCATGAACGGATATGCGCATTCGAGGTTCTGCAAGAGACACTCCTTCCTTCCCCAGGACTGGGAGGAGGAGCAGAGCGGCTCAAGGACATGCCTTCTCCCTTCAGGAGGGTACCGTGTGACTCCCCCCCAACCCCGCCGCCGGCTGGCCTCTTAGGTGCTGAAGTGGGGGATGCTCCTGCGTTCTCAGTCTGGCTTGCCTGGAAGGAGACAATCCAGACTCCCTGATCTGAACATCACGTCCAACAACCCAGGGTGGAAATTGAATGGGGCCAAGGTCCAAAAAGCATAGTTTTGTTTGGAGAAAAAAGGTTAATTTGTTACAAACACGAAAATATAAACACAACAATTACAACCACATTCACTTTTCTACAAAGTGAGAGAAAAGCCCTTGGCTTTTCACGTATTAATTCTCCTCCAGTCAAAATGGGCATGGATAAGAAGCGTGTACTGCACGGGTAGGTATGGATATTTTATTCATGGTACTGCATTAGTTTTCCTTGTAAAGGAGAGCGAAACTTTTAAAATTCGGATGGGCATTGGCTGCATGTAGCAAACAAGCAGAGAACATCACTGCTGTGCGGAACAAGGTTTTCCAGGAAGGGGCCGTGTGGTTTGAATTCTCTGCCTGGCTGTTCCAGCTCAATCCCAGGCCTGTTTTCTGGAAAGTGAATCTCTCTAAATTCAGTGGGATTCAGGCTGCGACCCGATGCACCGTTAGTGGGAGCACACTAGTGAAACCCGCTGGGCTTACTTCCAAGCAGCTTGGGAGTTCCCTGCTAGAAACAGATTTAGGACTGCAGTCAGAGAAGGAAGGATGAACCGTCAGTTTGCAGAACCGGGTGCAGCTTGTTTTAGGGGAGGGAAGTGTGAATTTGTCGTTGAAAAGCTCTCTTTTTTGCTGTTGGTTCTCCTGGGCACGCTGCCCTTTAGTGATCCACTGAGAGAGGGGGGGAAGGGGAAGGAGGGAGGGGGCAGGGGGAAGGGAGAGGTCGTGTCTGGGGCAACAGAATGTGATCAGGGCAGCTTATCCTGTGACAATATGTGGAGCTTTTCTGTTGGGAAGGCAGGCAAATAACGGGCTGAGTCTGGGAGACTTTCCTTGGCGCAAACGTCAGGGAACACCGTGGGGCCGTTTCTGCGTGGAGCGAGGGGCAGGGGAGGCTGCTGCGGGGCGGCTCAGGGGCCTGCTCCATCCAGAGGTGCATGCTGAGGCAGCAGTGGCCCCGGAGGGCTTGGGCAGGAGACCGGATGTTCCCGGGTCGGACGGGGACCTTGCGCATCAAAGCTGGGCCGCTGCATCAGTTAGGACTGAAGCCGGTTCCAGAGCCCCGGCTGGGAGGCTCCCTGGCAGACTCTGGGCTGGTTATGGACTCCCAAGCGAATCCGCGGCGCAGGGATATTCTGAGGGAAGAATAGAGAGGTAGGGGGCCACGTGTGCTGGCCTGGCTCCTGGGAGGAAGGGGGAAGGGAGGGAGGGAGGGAGGGAGCAGTTCTCACCTACTGAGCGATGCCCCCTGGGAATACCATGGGTTATGAGGGTCATCCCAGGACAGTCTGGCCGGCACAGCAAGCTCCCCCCTCCCCGCCCCTGCCTTCCTCCCAAGTCCCAAGAGTTTTGCACCGGCAGCTTTTGCAGGAGCAGGACACCGCCAAACATCGGATGCTGGAGAAGCGCAGGGGAGAGCTGCGGCCCACTTGGGAGCTTCCCAGGAGCTCGCTGGTCCCCACGGAGCATTCAGCCTGGCCCCGCAGAAGTACCTTCTTGCCCTTGCAAGGATGCCACCTACAGGAGCACCCCAGCGGTCCAGCGGGGCAGTTTGAGACCCTTGCAGTGACCCTCAGGGCGGGGTGGTGGTGGAAGGAATGCAGACTTAACGTTTCTCGCCTCCCCCCTGCCCCAGGGACCCCCCTCCCCATGATTACCATCATTTCGAGCTCTGTATTCCTAACGTCATAGAGCACAATAATTCCAAACTTAGAAGAAAATGTTGCACAGACTCCCCATCACAATACTCTGGCCAGGTGCACCTTTGCATCTCAAAATCACTTTGATCAGAGCATTAGCATAAGGATCCAGGAAAGCAGTGGCTTAGCTTCCGCTCTCCTGCCCCATTTACTTTGGAAGCAGCACCTTTTTGCTGGAAAACATATATGTGGAAAGGGCTGAACGGATAAAAGCAGCACCTGTGGGCGTGTGCAGGCCTGGCAGGTCGCCCTCTAACACTAAAACGTTTGTTCCAACCCACCTGGGTCAGTGTCAGCCTCTGGGCAAGCAGCCCGGCTCTTGCCCCAGTGAACCTTCTGGGGGTCCCCTGGGCTGTGGGCCCACAGCTGCTCCATGGGCACACGGGCAGGGCGAGACCTGCAGCAACCAGGAACCTCCGTCCCCTGGGGGAGCGCCAAAGAGACCAGCCATCTCTGTGCTGAGCGGGCCATCCCTGTGCGGAAGCCTTCAGGTCAAGTGGGCGACGACTACGATGACCATGACGACTCCTGCCCTCCACCTGGTTGGGAAGTGGGACCTGGGCCTTCCCCAGATCACGTTTAGGTGCCACAGGATGGTGTGGGAGTCGGAGATGTCAAGGAGCCCTCTCCTTCTCATTGCGTTTCCACCTCTCTTTCCTTTCCTCAGGATCCCGCGGGGCTGGAGAAAGAATCACTGAAGTCCAGGGAGGAGGAGAGGCGGGAAGGGAAGATGGGCCGGTCCCTCGGCGTCCTGATGCTTGGCCTGGCTTCGGCATGCCTGCTCTGGGAGGGTAAGGCTTGGCGGAGGGGGCGGCAGTCACATCCTGTGCGAACAGCACCGTCCGTTCTGGGGATTCCCAGGATTTTCCGGCCATGAGCAGGGAGGCAACCTGGATGCTGCCCTCTGCCTGGATGATCAGCGTCCTTCCCTCTTCCCCCTTGCAGGTGCACAATGCCTGTTACGGAATTACTGGCTGACGGCCCCTCCTGCTGTCTCCGTGCCGCTGGGACTCTGTGTCATCATCCCCTGCAATTTCACCTATGAACAAAGGCATGCGGACAGAGATGCCCCTTTGTATGGCTATTGGTTTGAAGCAGAAAGTGTTTACACAGGGGCTCCGGTGGCCACCAACAATCCAAGGAAAACAGTTCAAAGCTACACGAGGAATCGCTTTACTCTCTCGGAACATCTGGACCAAGGTGACTGTTCGCTCACCATCAAGAATGCCAGGAAAACTGATCGAAAGCAGTACATTTTCAGAGTGGAGAGAGAGCCTCGTGCAAAATTCACTTACAGTTTTTATGCCGTGCCCTATGTGAATGTAACAGGTGAGCGCTTGTGGGGCTGCCTGCTCTCTGCCCAAGCCCCGGATTTCGGGCGGGATACGCCATGCACAGCAGTAAAACACGAATGAGCCACGACTGTGAGGCAGGATCAGGCATGCACCCTGCTCTCTGCATGTGACCCACGGGGTGCCGCAGGCAGAGGAGCCCTCGGGTGCCACGTGGTGCTCTGGGGAAAGCTTCTCCCACCTCCTTGCCTCTGATCCTGGTGCCTTTGCAAAGCCAACGGAAAGGTGCCCAGACTCTTTTGCGCTGGGCCTCCCTCCTTGCCCCGAGGGGCCTCCCGGATTCCTTCGAGCCCACGTGTTCGGGGCTGCCCTCCACCCGGTCCCCCGGCTCCGCTCACACACTCAGGGTCTTCACGTCTGCGTGCGGCTGGAGATGAGGCCGAGGTGGTGCACACGCCGGAGGGGGGTGTGGGGTGAGCTGAGCGCCCCGCCTGAGGGATTTTGGCAGAGTCAGGGCGAGCACAGCACCCTCCGCACCCGGATTCTGCAGGCACCCACGCTTGGCCGGCACTTCCTTCTGCACGGCAGGCAGGCCGGCCGGCCGGCCTCCTTCAGCAGCAGAGAGGGGCTGCTGCCAGCAGAGCCGCATCCCCAGAACTGGCTGCAGAGGGGCAACAGGCAACCCACGGCTGGAGACCATCTTGGCCGAGGGCCGCCGTGGCCGGTCGCGTCCCTCTCCCCCATGCCACGGTTTCCAGAGATGCCCTGGGTTAACCTTTGCCAACGCAGGTCAACAGAGGCATGGGGTCTCCACAGACTGGAGCACGTGAGCTCCTCGTGAGCATCCCCTGCCCGTGGGCAGACCCCAAGCTCTACAGATGCTTTGAGCATTCGCCCCAAAAGGACACCCCCCCCCCACAAGTGAAAGGTTGGTGTGCTGGTTCTTGCCCAAGCGAGGGCGCCCTGGAGCTGCCCAAATCCTGGCCCCGATTCCCCCACTCCTGCTCGAGAGTTGGGACAGTCTGCTGGGGGCACCACCCCATTGAGGGGTGCCCAAGTGCCCCTGGCAGCAGTGCCGGTCTGGGGCAGCTCCCAGCCAAGCTGCCTGCCTGCCACTCTGGCCAGGGGGCTTGCTGGCGGGGGGGGGGGTCTGCATTCAGACAACATGACAGGCGGGGTGGCAGGGAGGAATGCCAGGAGAGACCACCCACAGTCCTCGTCCCGCTTCTGCTCTGACTGGGCCCTTCTCTGTTCCCTCCGCCAGAACAAGCGGGACTGCAAGAGGGATGGACTGCAAGCTGGGCAGGAGGAAAGGGGCCAGGAAAAGGTCAGGGGGCCAAGCAGGGGAGGGGCCACTGCACTGAGCAGCCGAATGACAGAAGGCCCACAAAACCGGCAGAGGAGGCCACATGAACCGGGGAAAGGCGTTTCAGGAGGAGACGGTGCGATCGCGCATTAGGCATCGCCTGGCAATGTTAAAGCTGCATGCAAGAAATCACTCGCAAAGAGCCACAGGCAAACTCTCCGATGTGCCAGATGGAAAACGAGGCATGTGACCAGGCCTGGGTGGGCCCTTCAGTGCAAGATGATGGCCCTTGCCGGACTTCCCCGCGTGCAAAACGATGCTGCTTGGCAAGACTGGAGGTGCACTTCCGCGACCCTCCGGTTTGCTGCACGCGGGTCGATCTCAGTGCACGCAGCTTGCACTGTGGAGCCGTCCAATCAGTCTGACCATCAGAGGCAGCTGAGGGTTGCCGGCTGGGTCTGGGACGGCCTGCAGGAGGTGCTGTTGGGCCACTGCCCCTCGCACCAGGTGGCACTGGAGGCTCTGGGAGGGCCCGGTTTGCAAGCTGGCCCTTCTGCTACCCGTGCAGATGATCCCTCTGCGAAACACGGTCTAGAGGTTTTCAAGGGGCGAGTCAGCAGCCCCAGCTGGGCCATATGAAGAAGGTTGCGCTGGAGGCCGCACTGTCTGATTGCTGTGGCCCTTTGCTGTTTGGGCTGCTGGAGAGATTTTTCAGGGGTAGGCAGAGTCCGTACCCAGAAGACAGAGGGAGACCGCAGGCAGATATGCTTAGCAAAGGAAGAAATTCGGAGTGGCTCCGTATTGCAGGGTGGAGCTGAGGATCAATCTAAGGGTCTTGATACAGATTTCCTCACACTTTGAACAGACTCACTGAAATGAGTGGAACTTAGATCCAGCATTCTATTTTTCTCTGCATACTTCAACCTCAGGCCAGGTGGGGGAAGGCCCCTAAGCTACGCTCCTAGCAGCTTGCTCAGGAGCTTTAGGGGCAGGGACGGAGATCTCAACGGACACGTTATTCTGGCCCAGGACAGAAAGGCCAGCCTGGTGCTTCGAATTTGTCTGAGACGAAGTGCAGCAGGTGGGCAGCTGTACCTTGACTCCCTTGCTCTCTTCCTAGAACTGGGAAAGCCAGAAATACAGATTCCAAGAGAGCTTCGGGCAGGCCAGCCGGTAAATATCACGTGCACAGCCCCAGCAAGTTGTCCTCCAATGTCCCCAAACATGACCTGGGAAGGCATCTCTGAAGCATCCACCTCTGGGATCTCTGCCATGCTGCCAAGTGGCTCCGACATTTATAGGACTGTGTTCAACTTCAGACTGTCAGCGGCAGACCACGGCAAGCTTCTCACGTGCAGCGTCAGCTACGGGAAGGGGCCCGAGGCAACGCAAACGGCAGAAATAGTCCTGCTGAATGTCCACTGTGAGTGACTCTTTACCTCCTTCTCCCATAATTACTCCCATGGGGCTACCTTGCCTGCATAGCCCCACTCGCATGGGTCAACAGTGAGTGGAACGAACTGGAAAGCAGGAGAACGTCAGCTTGGCACTGTTCAGGGTCACCGTGAGGCTTGGCAGTCGTTCTCTCGCTCAGAGGTGGGTTCCCCGTTTGGATGCCATCCCTGGGCCCCAGAGGAACTCCTCTGCCCATGACGTTGTGGTCAGATGGAGGCCTTCGGAGGCACCGTGGGGCGCTGTGCTCGAAGCCCTTGCCCTCACGAACTGGGAATTCCTGGGTGGAATGTGGCCTGGTGCAGTCCAGGCTCTGCTTCCCCAGTTTGCCGTTCCGGCTTCGCTGCTCCTGCGCCCTCCCGACGGGCAGACAGGACCTGGCCCCTGCCTGGAAGCAGCTCGCCTGCCTCGGATGCCCGAGCCGCAGCAGAGGGCGAAGGCACTTGGCCAAGCGGGCCCCTGAGCTGCCGGAAAGGGCTGGCTTGGCAGAGCCTCTGCCGCCTCAGGATGCCCCGCTGCTCCTTCCCTGGCTCTGCAGAGCTGCTGCGGGGGAAGCAGAGTCCCAGGCACAGCGGCCTTTCCCCCTCGGCTCCAGCACAGCAAGACTCGTGCAGGGGGGAACACGGAAACAGCAGCCGAGCAGCAGCGGAGGGTCCAAAGGAGGTGGCGGTGGGAGGAGGGAAAGCGGTGGCACGGGAGAGGAGTGTCGAGGGTGGCCGTGTGCACGCAAGAAGGGGAGGGAGAGATGCCGGGATGAGGCTCCCCCCCCCCACCTGCTGCTGAATCCGACCGGAGGGGATTGCTGACCCACAGGGCTTGCTCTTGTCTTGCAGACCCGCCCCAGACGCCCCAGTTCAGCGGGGAACTCATACGCGCGAACAGAAGTAAGTTTCCTCTGCACTTGCACAGCCGCGGGATTGCGCCTTCTTGCCCCACAGCTCCTGGAAGCAGAGGGCGAGAAACACCAGGGAAGCCCGCAGGCTCTTCCAGGCGAAGGTGGCCAGGAAAGACCACGCGGCCCGGCAGAGCGGCAAGTCCGGGAGGTGGCGGAGAAAGCAGCCTCCCGTGCTGGGCGCGGAAACGGAGCCCTGGGGGCTCGGCTGCTGCCTCCCTTCGGACCTTCCCGCACAAGGCGCTTTCCGTGCGCCCCCGGCTCCTCCCTCGCGGAGCCTCCGGCGCTTCGCGCGACGTCCCGGCCTCCAGGGCCCGGATGCTCCGGCGCGAGCACGCGCGCTCGCCTGGATCCGCGCTTGGCCGGACAAAGGCAGCGTGCCGCCCCCGCGCACGCGTGGTTCTGCCGCCCTGCAGAGCCCCCTGGCGCTTGGGAAACGCGGTCCGTAGGCAGGCAGAGGAAGAAAGACCCGGGGTGAAAGGGGCCGATCCCAGCCACCGGACGGACGGCGCGCAGCACGGCCGCTGGGGAAGGGGCGCCCGGAGAGCCGCCTGATCGCGGAGCCTCGCGGCGGAGCCGCCCGTGCCTCCGTGGAGACAGCGAGGGCCGAACCTGACCTCCATCCTGCTGTCGGTAGCCGGCAGGCCAGCAGTCGCGTCCTTGCCCTGGAGGGCGAATCAGCCTTAATGATCGGCAGACCGCGATCATAGCGATCCCGCGGGGTTTGGGATCGCGCAGGCCAAAGGCTGAAGCAAGCGTCGCTTCCTTGCTTTGTCTTAAATCGGGCTAAGTTGTCCTGGGCTGGGGAAGTGCAGCGGCTCGTCCTGGGAGCGGAGAACTGGCGCAGCGCCTCACCGTCTCTTTGCAATCTCGCAGATCTGCAGAACTTTTCCGGTGTGACCCAGATTAGTGCACAGAGGGGTGACTCTGTGGTGCTACGGTGTGAGGTGGAGGGCAACCCCGTGCCCAGCGTGACTTGGGTGAGGGGCCCACAGCCCCCCCAGACACTCCAGCTGGTCTCCTCAGAGAACGAACTGAAGCTTTCCAGCCTGACACAGCAGCACGAGGGCAAATATGAATGCCGGGCCCAGAACAGCGAAGGCTCCAGCAAGGCAACCTTCCTGCTCTCCACAACAGGCAAGTGAGCCTGCAATTGGTTGGGGTTTGCTCAGGGAGCTGCTATTGGGGCAGACAGATGTCCGGACTATGTGGCGACTCAACAGAAGGCCCCAGGAGGATCCAGCCCAGATCAGTGCTGGTCCAAAGAGTCCAGCATCATGCCGTTGGGGGGGGGGGCACTTGGATGCCTCTGGGAAGCCCATGGCGGGGTGTAGGGGGGGACACGAGCACAGTAGCAGCCTCTGGCCTGGCCTCACATCCAGGAGGCAACATGTGGCCATGAGGACTTAGAGCGACGGATTAGCCTCTTCTTTTTCATGCGACTGCTGAACCCTCTGAAACATCATCCACATAGCAGTGGATGCCCTGACCTGCTCTGTGTTGTGTGGGGAGCTGCTGCCTTCCTCCACCCGGGATCTCCCCCCATTCTCCATCATTGGGCAATCTAGTCAATTCGGACCCTACAGGTATAGCAGCTCGGCCATCAGGCGCCACAGTGACAGCACAGCAAGTCATTGGCTGCTGATCCACACACTCCACATGACGTGAGAACGGAGCATTGAAGGTGGTTCGAGAGCACAAGGGGATGCGCAGTTGAACAGCCCCAGCATCCCTCCAGCCCACCAAAAGCCTGGCACGGGCAGGTTCAGCTTCTTGGCATGATGTCTTGCATGGAGCAGGGAGGGTGGAGAGGGCCGTCCTGACTCACAGTATCTTTCTCTTGCAGCCCCTGCGGAGTCTGGGAATCTGAGCACATTCATTCCTCTAGTGCTTGTCATGTGCCTGGTCAAGTAAGCCGTGCTCCTTTTCCTCCAGAACTTTGCCCCGCGTGCAGCTGGCGGCAAAGCAGGACAGAGGTGGGAGGGATGGATGGGCAGAGGCGGCTCCCTCCCACCCCCAGCTGGCTAACTAGACGCCTTGCTTGATTTTGCATCGCTATCTCATTTTCAGGGCTGTGCTTCTCTTCTTCTGTTTCTTTGCTTTCCGGCTTTTGGACCAGAAGAAAGCTGCATCTGGAAAGAGCAAAACGAAGAGCAGGGAGGCGGCAACAGCACAGGCAGCCCAAGCGGTCGAGAAGCAAGCGGAAGCAGCAGTGCCGTCAGCACATGTGTGAACTGTCCCGACTGTGGGCCGGTGGGGCACTTCTCTGGGGGCACGGGACCTCCTTGTTTGGCAGTAGCAGCTGGTGGAGCAGGTCCCGTGAGCTGGGAAAGATCCTGAGTGGCCCCAAGGGAGTTCCTGTTTCCTCTCTTCCCACTGGAGCAGAAGTTGGCGAGGGGGAGGTGATTGTGGCCATGTTGGGCAGGGTGGGATGTCTTTCTTAGACGTCCATGGACGACTGTTCAGAAGTTGCAGCTTGTGCGAAATGTGGCAGCCAAATTAAGACTAGGGACCTAATGGCCTCAACACACAGTACCAGTTTGGATCTACTTGTGTTCATCCCTGTTAAACCTAAGCCTCATTCAAGGTGCTGGTTTTCAACCTATGAGACTCTATCTAATGTTGGGCTGTAATACCTGACAGAACACCTCTCCCAACCTGAAAGGGAGACCTTACTCTGAATGCTCCTCCAGGGGAGTCCTGGGAGAGTCGCCACAAGGCAATGGAGCTTCTCAGTGCTGGCCCCTCAATGATGGGGTTGTCCCCCCAGTGAGGCCTCCCTGGCACCATCTTTGTCAGTATTTTGGCACCAGCTTAAGACTGACCATGTCTCCCAAGCATCTAATGGCATCAGTGATATTCAGTGGCATCATGGGGTCATCTGTGCCCCCTGTTGAACAGGTCTACCACGTACTGAAATGTTAGCTGTCGTTTTTATTTTTCTTTACATTTTGTACATTGAAAAATTCCATGCAGTGTTTTACTGTATTTATGGTCTGTGTTTCTGCGTGTTGTGAACTGCCAAGAGAGCTTCAAGTATTGGGTGGAACTGAACTGAACAATGAAATGCATAATATAATCTCCTGGAAGCAAGGATTTGAAGCTGGGTACTTTTGGAGGGATAAATATTGCTGTCCAAGGTCCTGAAATTAACCAAGTTCCAGACGAAATCAGGTCACCAGGTCTACTTAGTAACCTGAGCTATTGGGCACAGTGGATGACGGAATTCCCCAATGGAGCCTCACCCTGAGCAGCCCTGCAGCTCATTTCCCAAGTGCAGGGCAGGAGGACTCAGATGCTCAAGTGGGTAGAAAGCCCAGTTTGGATGCACAGCAGTATCTGACATGAATTCAGGACCAGGTGGTCTTCCGCATTTCTTCTCCAGGGGGCAGTGAAAGTTCCCATGATGGTACAGTTATGCCAGGCTGAGGAGGAAAGGGTAGCAAAAACATGAAGACAAGCTGGTGCACACGGACTGCTTTGGGTAGCGCTGGCTCCAGGATTCGGGTGGCACTGGACAAAAAGCCTTCAGTGGTTCCCTTTCCTGAGTGGGTTCAGCTCCTCTTTGCAGCCCACTGACTTGCCTCTCCTTCTGGACCCAACCTGCTCAAACAGGGAGCACAAGGCCCTGGAAGGATGCTGCCCTTTCTTCTCACTCTGGTCACAGAGTACGTTCATGAAGAAAGCAGGGACTGCGCAGTGGAGCATCAAGGCGCATGGGCTTGGAGAGTTGGCAGTGGGCCGCTGTGGGACACATGGACCTTGGCAGCTGCCCAGCAATGCCTGCCTCTGGTATTTACCACGATGGGGCGACTGAAGCACCCTTTGTGCACATCTCCAAGAGTGCCTCCCCAAACCTGTCCTCCAGCAACAGCGTTCTAGAAATGCAGCCCAGCACAGACAACATTCTCACTGCCTCAAAGGCAGACTGGGACACTCACTCATAAATGCACATACTCCAGCTTCAGTTTTCTTCTTGCTTTTATTCCTCCATTTTCTTTTTCCTCCACCGTCTGCCACTTTTTCTTCCACTTTCTTGAACAGCTTCAGTCCAAGCACCAACAGAACTGCTGAAAGGGTTCTCCCAGCAAAGTGTGCATGCGGTTCCAGTCTTAAGTCACTGTTCCTCTTGTGTCTACTCTCGCCATTTCTCTTTTATCCCTCCCTTGCCCCTTCTCTTTCACACAGACATCGAGAGCACAAGCCAATGTCTGCTAGCCTGCATCTAGGCGGCCATCAGATGCTTTGGAGTCCCAGCTCTGCCCCTAGAAACTCACCCCGGGGTCTGAGCTCAGACTCTGCGCCAGGCACCTCCCCACCAGTACAGAAAATGCCAGGCTGACTGTTTCTCTGAGGTCGCAAGCATGACCGTAGAGAAGGGGGCTTAATGGACCTCCCAGGGTGCAGGGAAGGGGGGGTACCAGTGCTGCCACCACAGGGAGCATGCTAGTGGTGCCTCAGCATCCTTCCACCTGGCCCCAGAGCACCTCTTTGCCGGCTGCCTAGCTGTTCCGCCAGGTGAGAGGAACACCGAGGCAGATTCACCTCTGTCCTCCTCCTCCTCCTGCCCTGCGTTGGATGTCTGGCAGCCTCAGGGCTGATTGGTTTTCCTTTGCTTCTTTTTCAACATCAAGATTCAGCATGGAGGGAGGGTTGTGCAAGACACCTTGCTCACAAGCTGGGGAAGAACATTGTTAGGCAGCAGAGTAATACGTTGAAAAGCTGCATGGAACTATGTTCAAATGCAAACGTGTATGCTGCAAATTCTATTGCAGAAGCAAATCCTGACAAAACAGCCATAGAACATTACGCCTTAATATAGTGATATGCTAAAATGCAATTGGTACCTCCACTTTAATTTGCTGCTGTTAGCCTCGTGAAGAAAAGCTGTATCTCAGCACCACTACTGAGCTTCGGAAATGGATTGTTCTATTACATTATGAACTGTGCACTAAATATCCTTCTGAGTAACAAAACGTGTCAAGTCCATTGACCTGATTCAAACTGGGTTCTTCTTTCTGGAGGCTAATATACTGGAGAGTCACCATCCAGTTGCGTGGTCCGCAAATGAGTTTACTGTATTAAAAAAGATAACACACAGGAATCACGCCACCCAGATGTGCATTGACGCACGCCTTCTTCTTCAAGGAAAGGGCAGATCCCACTTTGGAGTCACCTTCACTCCAGCTGGGGACCAGCATGGTGGGCATGGCTGATGTACATCATGGGATCATCCATAAAACTTTTCTGAAGTAGAAGGAGAATGGATATCTTGAAGATTTTCTGGAATTTCTCCCCAACAAAAAGATAGAGTACGGGAGTGAAACAGATATTCAGACAGATTCCCATGACAAAAATTCCACGCAGAGTTTTTACTGTCACTCTGGATGCCCCAAGCAGCAGTGAAGCATTGTAGAGATGATAGGGGGACCAGCAGACGAAGAACGATGCCACAGCTGCCACCAGCACTCTGAACGGCTTCCTATTCCTCACCAGCTTTTTCTTCTTCATTTCCCGTCCCATCCAGGAGCAGCAGCCCACAATGGTGATGAAGGGAAGTAGGAAGGCCAGCAGGAATCGGACAACAAACAAAGCCAAGTGAATTCGGTACCGGAGAGCCTGTGTTGTGGCCCCATCCCAATCACTGGAGAGAGCATAATTATTGACACAAGCGGTCTTGCCTTTCTCCATCTCTCGGGTCTCCCGAAAAGAAAGATTAGGGGCACTTAGGGTGAGGGAGACCAGCCATACTCCTCCAATCAGCTTCTTTGCCTGAGATAGTGTTCGGTTGTGCTGGGACCAGATGGGGTAGCAGATGAGGAGGTAGCGATCCAGGCTGATGATGGTGAGCAGAAAGACTGAAGTGAACATCCCCAGAGAACCCAAGAAGTTGAGAATCTTGCACATCACTGTGCCAAAGATCCAGTGTGAGTCGAGGAGGATGTGGGGGACTAAGAAAGGCATAAATGAAGTGGACATTAAGTAGGTGATGATCAAGTGAGAAAACCAGAGAGTATTCACTGTCCTCTTCATCTTCACCCCCAGCACCCAGAGGAGGAGTCCATTCATGGTTATCCCCACCAGGAAAGAAACTGAAATACAGCAGGCGATGGTTACATCCCAGGGGGTTATGGCTACTGGATAGTGACTGGTGTTGGCATTCGTTCCTGTGGTTGAGGAATTTCCCAGGGAGAAGGTGGTGTTGCCCTTGTCCATAAGGTCCTGAAGGAAGAGGAAAGAGAGGTTGAGTTGGTGGCCAAAGAAGGGAGAAAAGAATGCGAGAGGAAAGGAAGATGCAAAGAACGGGAAGAACAATGGTCTGAACAATGAGAAGTTTGGTATCCCAGGGCACTCTGCACCACTTAGCCAAGGAAGCAGGTTTCCCTGCGATTTTGAATGTTTTCTTAGTGCAAAGTCTTATTTTTACCTTCATTTTACCCTAGGATCTGGTGGAATTGGGGCACCTGGAAGCGTTCCATGCCACCCACAAGGTCCCATGCTCATCTCTGCTCTGTCTCCCACTTCTTTTGAGGAGATGCTACACTGCTGTCAGGAGGTCCCTTGATGACCCAAAGAAATGGAGCACCTGTGAGTAAAAGGAAGTTGGTCCAGAGGGAAAGACGAAGAGCGTATTATCAGAGGGACATTTCATGCCAGTCCTGCAGGAAGCCTTCCTAGTGGCTGTGAGATTCCCTCCCGGAAGAGGTCACGTTTGAGCCTTCTCTGCTGCCTTCTGTCGGCAGGCAGAGGCTTGTTTCTGAGAAGACCTTTGGCCTGCACACGAGCCTGTTGGGTTGGGAAGTGCTTTGCGTCCCCCTCTGTAATTTCTGTGTTTTTCAAAGCTGTATTTCAAGGTATTGTTTTAACCCTTTTTGTTTTTTCTATATGCTGCCATGAGTGTCACCATTGGCTAGAGAGGTGGGTTACAAATCGAGGAGGAAGAGACGGTACCAAATAGTGCTTTTCTAATTCATTTTGTGGAGCGGTATATCAGTGATCTGAATAAAAATAACATAAGCACACAGAGGGGGGGTGGGGAGGGGGTATTTGCATGTTTTATGACTGGCCGTCCCATTGTGTGATGCCATGGAGGACCATCGACCTCCAGCTGTGCACACAGGGCCAGAGATGTCGGAGGGACACTGATCACCAAGATCAGAATGAGTTGCAAGCATACACTGCCTTTCTACTCCTAGTATGTGGAAGAGGAACATGAAACAGTCCACTTCCTCTCCCATATTCAACAGGCGCACTGGCTCTTGAGAGTAAGCACGTCAGCTGCAGGAGGTAAGCAGAAAGCCTCTGACCAGAATGCTAAGACCAATGGGGATGGGGCAGGTTGGAGAAGGTAAGGTGCAGTAGGGCCAGAGGCAAGGGCAAATGCAGACACAGGCAAGGTTCAGGTACCAGTAAGGCAAAGGCTGGGCCAGAGGCAAAGGCAAAGAGCAGAGAAAAGCAAGATCAGAAACCAACAAGACATGGCAGAAACCAACAAGACACCAAAAAGGCTGGGCCAGAGGCAAAGGCAAGGACAGGAGCAGTAAGGTCCAGATACTTGGAAAGGTATGGTAAATGCAGAGGCAAGGAAGAGTCTGGAACAGGCAGGAGTCAAGGTACGGATGAATGTGTTGGGGACTAGAGATGACCATAAAACAACAACCCCAAAGTTCATGCTACTGCAGCCAAACTAGGAAGGGCAGCATGGCTCTGACAGCACCTCCTGGGTCTTCCAGGAGGCTTTCATCACTGCAGTGGTCCTAATCCTTGCAAGCACCATCTGGTCTGGTACCAATCCTGCCAGCACTTGCAAGGTGAAGCAGGCTGCCAACGATACCCAGCCACAAGAGGGAGCCATATTGCTTTGCAGATCCCAACAGCAAAGGCCGTACTGAGTTACAGCCAATTTAAATCACATGGCACATCTTAGCTAAGAGAGGACCCAGTCCTGTGGTTTTGGAGAGGGGAGCATCTGAAGGGCTGTAAATTAGGCCAGATCTCCCCTTGCGGTGGAGAGAGGTCTGACTCCAAAAAGAGAAATGCAGCCTCAGAACCTCTCCCTCTGCCCCAAATTCTGCAGAACCCCCTCTGGTGACACAGCTCTATAAAGGGCAAAGTGGGCAGCTGGTGCACAGATGGAGCCACATTCTGGAAGAGGTTGTGGAACCTGTGGATTTAAGGTCGTCACAATCTCTGTGCATCCCCCCAGAATGGGGAGATGTGTGCCATCCATGGAGTTTTCATGTTTCATTTCCCTTTCACCAATGACCATGAAAGTGAAACCTTTCTTTAAAAAACTAGAAGAAAACAGCAGGAAAAAAATGCTATTCCTGCCACATTTCTGAACTCGTAGAGATTCCAATGCTGAACCTCTGGAAAAGGGCAGATAAAATTTTCTTGCGGAGGCCAAAAGATGCAATGCCAGAATCGCAATGAAATCTAGGACCAGATCACATTTACTGCTTTTTCACCCTGGGCAACTGCCTGGAACCATTTATGCTCAGAGGTTTATGGGCATCCTATTGAGGATGCAAAGAGCTTGGAGATACAATCGCCTCTGTGGTCCTTCCACCCCACAAAACAGACCGGCTGTCTCAGAGCGGCTTGGCAATGTGTTGCCCCTGCTTGCAAAGAAAAGAGGCTGAGGCTCCAACTGAGATACACTGAACTTGCTCCAGCCAACCCCCCCCCCCGCCCCCAGAATCGCATTCCAATTCCACTAAAACACATTACTGCTAATGCATACTGAAGCGGATCCCTCCCCCCCTCCCGCCGCACCCCTGGGTGAATACTCATTCCCAATGCTATGTCTTTTTCTTCTCTCTGACATGAGTCTGTTAGCAGGTTTATAGCTAAAGAACCACTGAAAGCAATGAGAAAACAGACTGAAATATTATCCAATTAATCCTCCATTTTGTTGATTTGTTTGGAGTTTTAACCATTCTTTGATTTTGGCAGACTCTTTTAGGGCTTTACTCAACATGTCAACAGTTGTAGAAGTTTTATTGTGAGATCTGTCGACTGGATCAATAACATTGCTTGATTTCTTGACGCTCATCTACTAGTTTGTGAAATCATGACTCAGAGAAAACTGGTCCATTACAAGCCATCCAGAGACTTTTTTGGTAATGGACGAACTTTAAATAGAAGAATTTTGAATGAATGAATGAATGAATGAATGAATGAATGAATGAATGAATGAATTCCTTTGCAGGTTTCTTCAACACCCCTACCTCTGAGACAGAAGCTGAGTGACTACCTAGCCCACAAGAATGACAGCATCTCAAGAGGCAGACCAGAGCCAGCCCTACGAGGACGTGTGGCTATTTACAAAACAAGGCTCCTGGTGAGTAAAAGACAAAGCCCTCCTCACAGGGACCTCCCCCAGAGGTCCCCAATGCACAGGGCAGTGCTTTCGCCTTCGCTCTCAACAGAGGAGCGCCCCGCGTGACTGATTTCTTGTGCTGCTGACTCCTGGAAAGACCCTGTGTTCAGAATGTCTCTTTTTCTGAACTAGGAATACCGTGCTCTGGTCCTTTGGCTTGCCTCCTGGCTTTGCTGCACACAATTGCTCCTAGCTTGTGCTCAGACTGAGCCTGACCCAGCCAAAACAGGGAGATTAGCACTCCCCCCCCCCGCCCCGCTTAAGGTTGATGCCTGCCCCCAGATCACCACCCCTCTTTTGGGCTGCAGACAGAGCAATCTCCATACCTTCCCCAAAGTATGTCCCTCTTGCTAGGTAACTTCAATCCACTTGCCCAGAAATTGCTGTCCTCTCAGCTTTCTTTCTTCCAGTTCAGCAATCAGGAACGATGTGAAAACGTTCCTAGGGTGTAACTGGCGTTCTGGTAAAAACCGAAAGGCTTGTACGTCACACCAGTACATCCTTCTCCACTCTTGCCCAGTTCCTTATTCTGGCATTCTTAAGGCATCTTTCCCTGTGGGGAACAATGCTTTGGGGACGGCACTCTGGGGTTCATTGACATTTGCACAGGAAACACGGTTTCTTGCAATGTATACTCGATTTGAAATACCCTAGCAAAATATGCTGGAGGCAAGCAGAAGCTCCAAGAGCAGGAACCAAATTCACAGATTGCATCAGATTTCCAGAGGCCAACTCTTTCTGTCATCTGCCTTTCCCAAGGAAGGAGGCACCCCGGTTTTGGGTAACTCTAGCTCAGCTGCCCAATCCCTCTTGGAGCTAAAACTGTAACTGCATTTGCATTTTTCCCTTCCCTCTTCCACCTGTGGGAAGGAACTGGCTTCCCAAACAGCAATGGGTGTTACATTCCAGCTTCCCATCACCCCACAATCAAAAGGTTCTGCCAGCTCACTCTTTATCACCCCAGCCTGGTGTCCCTATTTACTGTCTGTTCAAGGTTTTATGTCTTTCTTGGGTCATCTAAAATGCAACTTTCTTGGGGGTTAATGCCTCCAACTTTTCATGTCCTCTTTGATATTGCTTGTAATGGATCAGCCAAAACAGTGTAACAGCTAATTCCAATTTCTGATAATTGGGGTATCAGTTTAGAATACAAAAGGAAACCCACCTCCCTCATTCTCTCTGTTATTTTCAGAGATATTCTATTAGAAAAAAGGGACACAAAGAACAGATCCCAGAGTCAATGATCTCCATAGCTTTGTTCAAAGAAATCAAGTAGTAAGCCCACAACAATAAGACCTGCAGTCACTGGTATGCAGGCAACTGTGCTGGTCAGACCCTCGGGCTCATCACTTATTTTATTTTTCACTAGCAGGGGGTTATCATCTTTCCAGTGCCACTGGACACCCTCTTTGACTAGGACTGAAAAAGCTCCAAGATTGGTCTTTTTCAATAGCTTGGAACTTGGGGGTCTCCACTAAGGAATAGCTGAAAGCAAATCCTACTGAATGTCCAGGCAGGTTTTATGCATTGTGGATATCATATGCTTATTCTCTTATAGGGTGTCATAACCCCAGTAGAACCCTAGAAGTGGGTTCTGTGAACCGGGAGGATGGAAAGGCCAAGCTTACTCTCAGCTGGCTTCCCACCAGCCTGGTCAGATGTAAGGCCACAAGAAGAGGCCATGTGGTCCAGTATTATGCCCACAGTGGCCATCCGGTTGCCCATGAGTAACCCACAGGCAGGACATGAGTGCAACAGTCAATATGCAAAACTACGAATATATATAATAAGGAACCAAACAATGCCCAACCCACACACACACACACACACACAC